GGAAACTCAAACTGATATTTAATTTACTGTGAGATTTATTCGTATTTGACATGAAAATCCAATAAAGAAAGGGTACAATCTAAAAGAATGCAACACAGATTTTTAAAACCTGAGCTTCTGAGGGTGTTTTATATAAAACTATACGCATATTTGCGTTCACCCGGGCTTTCTGTTGGAAATAAACTTTGTTTCACGACAGCTTAACTTAAACGTCCTTTCATTTAATAGTTTTTTGGCATCAACATGACACTACAATGTAGATGACATGGGGATACATGAGAGAATACGTGCATAGACAAATTCCCTAACCTTTCTGCTGTTCTTCCTTAACTTTTCAAACTTCGAATCGGTATTCTGCTTGGTTCACGATCACGTCTACGTGCATGATGAGATTTCTGTCTATGCTTCTCTCGATTAACATTAGATAGCTCAGTTGATATAGCATGTTTCTCCATGAAAGTTTCACTCATAAATGTTTGCTCATAAAGAGGTCTCTCATAGGGTTCGCGGACCGACTCGTTCCGAAAACGCTCGACATCTTTTAGTGTGGTTCTACCGCGAACGATCTGTGCATATCTTGTGTGCGTTTTGAACGTATTATACACAGTGTCTGTGCTGATTTTGCACCGCGAAAGCTTCTCTACGTCCGCCATTACACCATGCCATGTGCTCATTAGTCAAACGTCACGCATGCGTGATGGGGACTTGACTGCGATTTGCGACCGAACGAAAATGAAAAAGGAAGCCGGAATTTCAACTCGGGCGTTTCCTTTGGAGAGCCTGAGTAATTATCAAAGGTGCGAGTGTGGAACTTGTCAACCAACGCCGAAAACTCATGAAAGTGTTTGTTGTACGGAAATCGGGTAATTGTGGCAAAAAGTAGAGGAGCAAGGGCCTGAAACCCAGATAAGTTGTATCACTGAGCATCCAGGTTTTCAGTCAATTTGCCTCAATTTCTGGGTGCTGGAGACGGCCTATTACGCCTACAGGCAGCAGTAAGGCACAGATAATCGCACCGGAAACGAGTAAGCTAAATGTTTTCTGTTTCATCTGTTTTGTTACATTTTGAGATCGATTTGCTTGAGTTGTTTCTGCCATTGATTTAATAATACAGTACTACAGCTAGTTGTTTTTCGCTTCTTTCCTGGAAGGAAATTTCGCTAAGTTGCCTACAGATAGCTTGTTCGTTGGTGTTGGGGTCATCTCGACAAACACTGCAGGGTCCCTGTGCCATCTTGTGCGGTAAACAATATCCAAACATTTTTCCAGCGGATTTTGGATCGTCTTACACTGGATTAAAACAGCCAAACCTTTGAGAGAAACAAAGGTACATTTTAATGCAGATCTTAGTTATTTGTGTCTTACTGCACTGGCGGTTGTGCTCGTTCTTATGAGATATTTATGTATTGCTTTCCTTCATCTCCGAAGCATTTCCATCGATAAACAAGTTGTACCATGTACATTTCCTTGTGTGGCCTTCATAGTTATCCAACCTTGTTTGTGTTTGCTTCGATTTGAAATACTGAAAAGATAGTTTTGCATGCTGAAATCAGGATCTTTAGAGTTGTACTCAAAATGATAAATATTGTCCTACTGACCTTTGATTGTACTTTCACTGCTGTGAAAACCGTGACACAAATTCTTCTACAGATTCTCTGCAGGGGTTAGTACTCAAATCGAGCTGGTGATGACCAATTACGTTCGAGAATTTTGTTATAGTTTTAATTATTTGCGTTAATGTTTTCTTTTAACAAAGAACTGCATGCATAATGATGGATAGGGCTGTGCAGAAATCTTGCCACAACTTAAAACCGCTAATTTAATTCTACTTTTTTACGGTTGACGGCTAAATTCACCATTTTTGACTATAGACATTTAAATTTTTTAGGCCGTTTGACGGCTGACAGCTACACCCCTTTCATGCAGACTCTCTCTAATCTTCCTCTTCGGTACTTGCTAAATCCGTGAAAAAATGAACCCCGCACCCACACCTCATGAACAGGTTTCCTTTCTTCAAAAAGATTATCTGTTGCTTGTTCTTCCTATTCATTTATCTATTCGCGGGACGAGGTTTCCTACGCCTATTGAAAGACGTTAAAAGATATCTTTATATATACTGCACCATAAACCAGCCTACTCCAGCCATTCAGTTGGTGAAACGAAGCGTGTCAGCAAAGGACGCGATTGTAGCAGCGGAGTGAAAAAACTGGGGAGGTTGCGGAAGAGCAGAGAAGAGCTAACTTTTGTGTGTCTGTTAAGGGGACAACAGGGTCATGACAACTATCACCTGTGTTTCATCTGTGTTGTCACCGCCAATCAAGATTTTTTTTTTCCAAGAAACAAAATATCAAAGACCCATCAACCACACGCACTTTGCCTTTAATGAGATTTAATTACTCACCAATTTACAAGTCAGATCCGGGTCTTTAACATCTGCCTAATCATAATATGGCGAACTTTATGTAGATAAGTATTACGCTTGTGACAGCTATTGTTTCGATTTTCAAGGAAAAATAGACAATTAATAGATTAATTAATAATTAATAGATAATTAATAAGTTAATGTAAAGCGTACGTTGTCTGTGACACATGTATATTAAGTACTTCCTCAAAAAAGAAATTAGGGCACACTACGTCATCGCTTTAATGAAATACCAGCCAATGAAATACTAGAACTTTTGGCTTTGAAAGCAAGCAAATTTAATTTCTTGGAATACACAATCATTGAAATATCGTTTTAGCAAGTAAAAGGGGCAAAAACTCGCTTTCTCGTCGGGGCACTTGTGGCTCATTTAAAAACTTTCTGAAGCAGCTTTAATGTTACCAGAAAAAGAGCCATGATCATTTTCGGAAACGTTGTGTACAACATCACTTATCTATATTTTTCTCTGAATCGACGGTGCATTACTTTATTAAAAACAAAGCAAATTCTAATCACGCGACAAGCTCGCTTTCATAAATCCATATTTTTCCTAGAAACGACAGTCAATTTTTTCTTTTGGGAAAGAAAAACCGTTCACAAGCTCGCTTTGGAGCCAGCGATTAAATCACCTTCGATGATTCTTTGACGTATTTTCTTCAATTTCTTGCGAACGATTATTACATTTTAATTACATATATCATTAGTCTGTTTGCATCAGTTTCTTTTATCTGTTTCCACAAATCTCACAATACTCGAGTACTTACTGCTCCAAGACTCTTCAGTGAATCCACCAAATATGTTTTCCTCACTCTGAACAATAGTGATCGTGGGTCCCTTATTGTCGCATTTGGAGTGAAACGTTGACGCCAAAAAGCCATCTCGAGAAGCGCGGAAAAGCAGACAAAGGCGTCGTCGCCTCTTCTCTGTATTCTGGGGGGGAAGCCACCCTTAACAATAAGTCTCGGTGTTCGTTATTCGTTAGAATTTGTGAATTGAATTTCAATTCATCCAGCATTCCTTTAATCCGATAAAACTCAGCCTCCTCCTGTAGTTCGTTGAGAGCTGTTACTCCTTCAGGCAAAGTTAATTTTCCATTGCGAAGATAATTGAGTATAAAGCGGAAGTGAGTTCCATCTCGGTCGATAAAGAAAGCGCCGTCTTCAGCAGGTTTCATATCAAATTTCTCTGAGAACATGACGCCCAGCATTGAGTTTCGATCCTTTGTTAGTGTTTGAAGGCTTGTTGTGAAATAGTGACCGCCGACATTGAGTTTCACCTTCATCAAGCGAGGACTGCCAATATTAGATTCAACGACTTCCGTGTTTCGTGCGTTGTGTTTCCTCCGAAACGGCATCCTAAGTTCTCAGAGTATTATGAACATGGCCTGTGGACGGCTATGGAAAAAGTTACATTCTAATTAATTACATTCAGAAATTAAAAAAAAAAGGATTCAACTGTTTTATATTCTCTACAAATATGAAATCGAAGGTCGAAATGTTCTGGCGTGATTTTCATGTGACATTCATGTGATATTCATGCGATATTCATGTGAGGAAGCGAGTTCCATCTTGGTCCATAAAGAAAGCACTGTCTTCACAAGGTCTTGTCTCAAAGGTCGACGAAAACATGGCGGCCAGCTTCGAGGTATGATCTTTGAAGAGTGTTTCGGAACAAACTGTGAAATAATTACCGCCAACATTGAGCTTTACAATCGAAGGAACGCCGGAGTCCTGCTGCATTTCAATATAATTCCTGCTCTTGCTTATCAATAGATCGTATTGAAATATCTGATTTCCAGTCGCACGATAACGTTTCCGTAATTAATCGATAGCAATTCGAATCTTTTTTCGAACGAAGCTTGAGTAGAGAACAGGAAGCTAAACAGGCGTAGATCGCAACGTTGACGGCGGTTTTGAGCAAACAGTACTTCACAGACGAGTCATTATAGCGTAAGTAACAGGTTGGGCTAGCTAGCATAGACGTGGCGGACGAAAAAAACAAAAGGAAAATTTATCGTTTTGTAATTATGCATTGTTATCCGATATGACCAACAGTGTTGCAATTCGAGTGTTTTATTGATCCTTCGCCAATTCATTTGCATAGTTTTTCCTGAGGTGTCTCGAAAACTAAGACTTTAGACCTCAAAAACCAAGACCTTGAAAACTTATCGATGAAAAGTCTTTGACTCTGACGCTTTTAAGCTAGACGCCAACTAATCCCAACAAGATAAACTGACCTCAAGTACCTTCTAGTCCATCAATATGCCAATTTTTCTCGGTCTTAGATTATGAGGTCCTAGTTTTTGAGGTCTTAGGTTTTAGTTTTTGAGACACCCGATCACAATCACCGTAACAAGAATATGTATTGCATAAAAATTATTTAGCGATAGAAGAACAAATTACAATTCTTGAGAAATTTTTATAAACGACTCGTCTCTATAATTACTTCTGTGAACTGCATCGATACCGAGTCAGCGTTTTTTTAAATCTTTATTTTTCAGTATCAAAATCGTAAAATGATGGAAAAAGGGGAGCAAGGTCCGAAAGACCTTGCAACTTCTATTAAGTTGTGAAAACAATCTTTTTCTTTTTATTTCCTTTTTTTTTAATCAAGATTTTCCTCCTTTACCGATTTCGTTTGATAATCAATTACTTGAAGGTGCCCGATCTAATTTTAGTCGCCCAAAAAACGCATTAAATGTCCGTTTAACAGAATATTAATCAGTTCACAAGTTCAAACACTTCGTAATTGGTCACGTGAAAACGAGTTTCCCCCGTGAAGAACAAATCAGCGTTGGATTCCGCGTCATTATAAGTTGGGTTATTGTAAGTTTCACCGAGACAAACTGAACTTGAAGTAAATATGTTTGCTTTGCCTGAGATGTGCAGGTCATGCCCATCCCTTCCCAACCCGAACGTTGGTCCATAGTCACCTCTGCAGCAAATGGCGTACTGACTTTCTCGCTTAAGTGGCATTTTAGTCGGTTCTGTGCCACTTGGGCTGACCATGCTGAACAAGAATGCTTCTGTACGTCTCGTGTAATTTCCATGGCCTGTTGAAGAAATTTTACCTCTCTATTAAACACAGCGCGTTTGATAACACTGTCTACAATAATTAAACTGAATTAGCTCGGTGGTCTGCTCTTTGCTTGGGTGAGACCACTAAACAGATTATCCGTGTAACTCGTTTGACGTATAGTTTTATTTCGTTGTTTTCTTTAAATAAGAACAGATAACCAGACAAATAAAAGCAACAGATATCAGCCGTGTCTTTCTTTTTACGAGAGAGGCTGGCAAATTTACATCTACCGAGTGTACGACTCCATCTAATTTATAGATACAAAACGCAACCGCCGAGTCACGTTAGCAGCCGTCACAAGAGTGATGCGAAAATCTTTAGAAAGCTATTCTTCTGCGACTCGTAATAGATTGTTGGGCGAAATTTCGCGAGAATCTGGTTTTACTACCTACCCTAAAAATGTATGCAAATAATGCGTAATTCCCAGAAAAATAAAATGAATTCAAGAACTGAGTACCTGTCATCCCGAGTTACTAGTAAACAAAACCAATTTTCTTACGAAACTCAAGAGCTAAAATGTAGTTTTATTTTTTTTCGGTGCGTGACTTATGTCGGCGGAAAGTGAAAGGAAGAAATAAAGTTTTATTATGAGCAGTAGAAATGGCATGCTTATTTATGAAACTGTTGTTTTCCACAACATTTATCCTTATTTAATCAAATATCCGCGGTGTGTTTCGTAATACTATTGAGACTTTTCTGCGAAAAACCCTCGGTTGTGATCCCATCATAGCACCTGCGGTGGTTTATTGACATATTTCCCAATTTTTATCTTATGATTGTCGCTCTTTAAGTGAAGTCTGTTTTTTTTTCTGGGAAAATGCTTTGGCAATAAGCATATTGAAAATTTGGACTGCTCTACTAGTTTCTATCGCTTTCATAACTTAACTCTGTTTGCATAAATCTCACAATACTCGAGTACTTACTGCCCCAAGACTCTTCAGTGAATCCACCAAATATGTTGTCCCCACTCTGAACAATAGTGATCGTGGGCCCTTTATTGTCGCACTTAGAGTGAAATGTTTCCGCCATAAAGCCATCTTGAGAAGCGCGGAACAGCAGACGAAGGCGCCTACGCCTCTCCTGTGTATCTTGAGGGGGCAGCCACTGTAACAACTTCTTTCGGTGTTCGTTATCCGTTACAATTTCGGAGTTAAAATGTAATTCATCAAGTATCCCCTGGATCTGATAAAATTCAGCCTCTTTCAGTAGTTCTTTGATGGCTGTTTCTCCTTCTGGAAAAGTTAATTTCCCAGTCCGGAGAAAATTGAGTATGAATCGAAAGTGAGTTCCATCGCGGTCTATAAAGAAGGCGCCGTCAACACCAGGTTTCTGGTTAAATTTCTCTGAGAACATCCTGTTCAGCATTGAGTTTGGATCTTTGATCAGTGTTTGACGAGTTGTGGTGAAGTAATGACCGCCGACATTGATTCTAACCCTTCGTTCTGTCTGTGACCACACCGAATTTAATTCGTCTGATAACCCCTTGATCTGGTAAAATTTCGCTTCCTCCAGCAGTTGTCTGAAGGCTGTTGCTCCTTCTGGTACTATAATCTTCCCATCGCGAAGATAATTTAGTATAAACCGAAAGTGAGTTCCATCTCGGTCGAAAAAGAAAGCGCCGTCTTCGGCAGGTTTCAAGTCAAGTGTCCCTGAGAGCATTGAGGCCAGCCTTGAGTTTGGATCTTTGGTCAGTGTTTCACGAGTTGTGGTGAAGTAATGGCCGCCAATATTAAATTTTATTGTCGGAGAAACTCGATTTACGTCTTCCTCGTTTAGTGCTTCGTGTTGCTTGCTTAACGCCATCTTGGTGTAAAGCGAGTCTCCCAGCTGCTGTTCTCAGGTCAATTAAAATTCAGCCTTAGATGAAAAAGGAAGAAAAGCAAACTTCAAGGAGGCTACATAGGGTTTTTTGACTGCGCGAGATCTGGGTGCGAATATAGCGCGCGGAGCTTTATAAGTGTCAGCTTGCAAAACAAACTTGGCGGCTCGATACGGTCGCACGATTGTTATCTAAAAAGGTGTGTTAAAACAGTTTGACGTAATACAGTTTTTATGCTATGGATTCTAGGGTTTCCAAAAACTGCACCCGTAATATTCATAGGCCCTCTACCCCTGAAAAAGAGATCAACCGAAGAGAAAACGCCGTGGGAAAGATTGCCAAAAGGCGATAGATTCGAAAGTTTACGCATGCTCAGATCACAGGCAGCCTAAGCTCCAGCTGTGAGATGGTCATCTTGCGAAATAAGTGTCATGGCAAAAATGTAAGAGTTTGTATGAGAATATATTTTTTATTTATAATCCTCAATAAATACCTCACCTTACTTTCACAGTCCATTGCTTGTTTTGTGACCGCTTACTTTGTTTGCAACGAGGCCATTTTAGCGAGTTATCCATTCCTAGGTTTACTACTTCTAGGAGAAAGACCTTTAATAAATAAATAAATAATAAGATCTTTTGACAGGGAGCCCACGTCACAAAGTGTGGTTTTCAGTGAGGCCCTGCATAAATCTAACGTAAGGATAACAGAAAATATAAATATGGTTATCAAGAATAGGATAAAAGGGTATAATCAATAGAAGAGACTACATGTTTTTAGGAGTGGTAAACCTAGAATGGATAACTCGCTAAAACGGCAGAAGTGACAGCTTGTGATAACTAGCATAGACGGACGTGGCATTTCATGACCGTCAAAAAACCAAAAGGAATATTTATATTTTTGTAGTTACGTATTGTAAAAAACTGACCTCAAGTACCCGCTAGTTCATCAATACGCCAACTTTTCTCGGTCTTAGTTTTGGAGGTCTTAGTTAATTTTTGAGGTCTTAGGACTCAGTTTTTGAGACACTCGTTTATCAGAGTAACAAGTAAGTGTATGGCATCAAATTATTTAGCGGCTGAAGAACAAGTTACAATTCTAGAGAAATTTTTATAAATGACTCGTCTCTACAATCACTTCTGTGCACTGCATCAATACCGAGTAAAAATGTCAGCGTTTTTGTAGCTCTTTAATTTTTCAGAATCTAAAATTTAATTCAAAATCTTAAAATCATGAAAAAAGGGGAGCAAGGTCCGAAAGACCTTGCAACTTCTATTAAGTTGTGAAAACAATCTTTTTCTTTTTATTTCCTTTTTTTTTAATCAATATTTTCCTCCTTTACCGATGTCGTTTGATAATCAGTTACTTGAAGGTGCCCGATTTTATTTTAGTCGCCCAAAAAACACATTAAATGTCCGTTGAACAGAATATTAATCAGTTCACAATTTCAAACACTTCGTAATTGGTCACGTGAAAATTAGTTTTCCCAGTGAAGAACAATTCAGCCTTGGATTCCGGGTCATTATAAGTTGGGTTATTGTAAGTTTCACCGAGAAAAACTGAACTTGAAGCAGATATGTTTGCATTGCCTGAGATGTGCAGGTCGTGCCCATTCCTTCCCAACCCGAACGTTGGTCCATAGTCACTTCTGCAGCAAATGGCGTACTGACTTTCTCGCTTAAGTGGCATTTTAGTCGGTTCTGAGCCACTTGGGTTGACCATGCTGAACAAGAATGCTTCTGTACATCTCGTGTAATCTCCTTGGCCTGTTGAAGAAATGTTACCTCTCTATTAAACAAAGCGCGTTAGATAACACTGTCTACAATGATTAAATTGAATTAGCTCGGTGATCTGCTCTTGCTTGGGTGAGACGACTTAACGGATTATCCGTGTGGCTCGTTTGACGAATAATTTTATTTCGTTGTTTTCTTTAAATAAGAACAGATAACCAGACAAATAAAAGAAATAAATATCAGCCGTGCCTTTCCTATTACGAGAGAGGTTGGCAAATTCACATCCACCGAGTGTACGACTCCATCTAATTTATAGATACAAAACGCAACCGCAAATGCAGCCGCCGAGCCGCGTTAGCAGCCGTCACGAGAGTAATGTAGAAAATCCTGATACTCATAATAGATTGTTGGGCGAAATTTCGCGAGAATCAGGTTTTACTGTCTACCCTAAAAATGTATGCAAAGAATGCGTAATTCCTAGAAAAATAAAATGAATGCGAGTAGCACCTGTCATCCTGAGTTAAAAGTAAACAAATTTAATTTCTTTAGAAAATAGCTAAAATGTAGTTTTATTTTTTTCGGTGCGTGACTGTATGGAGATTATGCCAGCGGATAGTAAAAAGAAGGAAATAAATAAGTTTTGTTTTGAGCAGTAAAAATTGCATTATGAGAGTGTTGTTCTCCATAGACATTAATCCTTATTTTATCAAATATCAGCAGTTTGTTTCGTAATACTTAGAAGACTTTTCTGCGAAAAGCCCTCGGTTGTGACCCTATCATGACACTTGCGATGGTTTATTGACGTATTTCCCAATTGTTATCTTATGATTGTAGCTCTTTAAGCGTAGTCTGTTTTTTTTTTCTGAGAAAATGTTTTGGCAATGAGCATATTGAAAATTTTGGACCGCTCTACTAGTTTCGTTCGCCTTCATAACTAAACTCAGTTTGCATAAATCTTATGACACTCGAGTACTTACTGCCCC